AATTAATTAAAAAAGAAAAAAAAACAAAAAACAAAAATTGTTTTTAAGCCCAGGACCAGAAAGCTTCACAAAGAATTGTAGCAAACATTCGAAGAGTTGACACCAGTCTACTCTAACTCTTAGAAAACATAAGAGAAGGATTACTCCCTAACTCATTCTCTGAAGCCAGTCATCCTGATATCAAGACCTGGCAGAGAGCACAAATAAAAAGAAAACTACAGACCAATATTTCTTGTGAATTATAGATGCAAACATTCTCATACTTCTAGCCAAGATAATTGAACAACATATATATATATATAAAATACTCCACGATCAAGTGGGGTTCATACTAAGAATCTAAGAATCTTCAATATTAGAAAACCAAACAATGTAATTCTCTACTTAAATACAGTAAAGGAAAAGAACCACGTGATCTCAATTGGTGCAGAGAAGGCATTTGATAAAATACAATACTGTGGTGCAACGAATTACTTAATATGGCTCTTCTGGCTGTCATCTTTGTAACTTCCTCCAGATGACTGGGTGGAACTATGCCAAAGAAGTGCTTATGCATCACCAAGGGAATTGGATAGCTTGCCAATCCTTGTTGTGGGGATAGGAACATGCACATAAAGTGAATGAAACCCTAAAGAGCCACTGGCCAGTTGCCCACCCCACCAGACATAAAAGGAGGCATCCTAGAGCTGGAAATGGAGACCTCACAACTACCAGGAATAAGATCAAGGAGTGAAGTGTGTCTTTTGGAGCCAGGGCATTGTACCATGGAAGACAGCAAGAAATGGCAGCACAAGAGAGTGGGAATTAGGACACTAGCAGGAGGCAGAGTTTCCGGTTCTTAGAGAAAGATGAGAGCCTTTAAGCAGACAGCTTTATGGAGGCATAAGCCACTGCTGGGCACTTGATGGAGCTAGACTTATGGACCCACAGAATTAGAGCTGACCCCCTTTGGGTTCTGTCACTCATCTCTCGGTTTGTCATATTTTGGTGGCTTTTATGTTGCTGTCATGCTGGGAACTATCTTGTTGCTATGTCACATATCAGCAGGGTCACCTACAGAGAACATGTTTCAGCTAAGCTTCTAGACTAAGACTGACTAAGAAGAAGGAAGAGGCTGTCCACTTCGGCAGAATTAGCCATGGAAAATTTATGGACAGCATTAAAACATTGTCAGATACTGAAGCCCTCATGAAAGAAGCAGAGCGTTGTCAGAGAGTGTGCCAGAAAGGGAATCCCTTGGGTTGGAAGGCACTCAAAATATGACCGAGGAAACACTGCCTTCTCAAGGCAAACCATCGTGATACAGATAGAGTTAAGCCTTCAGGATCTTCTTCTCCTAATGGGGTATGACTCAAAATGAGAAGAAACAGCTGCAAACATAAGTTAAGGATTTGAACTTGGAATGTACAATGTATAAATACAGGAAAATTGGAAATTGTAAAAAATGAAATGGAATACATAAAAATCAACATTCTAGGAATTAGTGAGTTAAAGTGGACTGTTATTAGCCATTTCACATCAGAAAATCATATACTTTGCTATACTGGGAATGATACAATCAAGAGGAAGGTGGTTATATTCTTCACAAAGGATATTTCAAGTTCTATCTTGGCGTACAATGCTCTCTGTGTTAGTTTTATATCTGTCTGAATTCCAAAGAAATTCAATCAATATGACTATTATTCAGATTTATGCACCTATCATCAATGCTAGTGATGAAGAAATTGAAGAATTTCTTCAGTCAGAAATTGATCAAATGTGCAATCAAGATGCATTAATAATTATTGGTCATTAGGATGCAAAGTGGAAGGAATGGTAATTGAAAAAAATTGGCATTGGTGTTAGAAATGAAGCTGGGAATTGTATAATAGAATTTTTTAAGACCAATGATTTATGCATTGCAACTACACAAATTGCAACAAAAAAGTCATTTATTGGACTTATGTATGGTGACTATACACTTCTCCAAATGGAATACACAGAAATCCAATTGACATCATCTGTGGAAAGAGACAATGGAGAAGCTCAATATTAGCAGCTAACTCCAGGCTAGGGGCTAACTGTGAAACATACCATCAATTACTCATATTTAAGTTCAGCTTGAAGCCAAGGAAAATTAAAATAAGTCCACTAGAGCCCAAATACAAGCTTGAGTCTAGCCCACCTGAATTTTGAGAACATATCCAGAATAGATTTGAAGTATTGATCACTAATGACAGACGAGTGGAAGAGCTGTGGGGTGACATTAAGAACTACATGCGGACCAGGGACGGACCAGGGACCTGCTCCGCCCGTCAGCCTCACCGCCACCTCCGCAGCCTTTCTCCAGCCCTCTGGACGGGGCTTTGGGGGGGGGCGGGGAGATGGTGTAGCTCCCTCACCACCCAAAGGAGGAGCTGGACAGCAGTCTCCAGTCTCCAAGCTGTGTCCCCGCCCCTGGAGGACAGGTCCCCTCCACCTCCGCCACCCTCGGCCCCCAAGTCTCCTGGCTGCTGGGAAAGCCTGGGCACCGCCAGCACCATGAGTGAACAGAGTATCTGTCAGGCAAGAGCTGCTGTGATGGTTTATGATGATGCCAATAAGAAGTGGGTGCCAGCTGGTGGCTCAACTGGGCTTAGCAGAGTTGATATATATCACCATATGGGCAACAACACATTTAGAGTGGTGGGCAGGAAGATTCAGGACCATCCGGTCATGATAAATTGTGCCATTCCTAAAGGGTTGAAGTACAATCAAGCTACACAGACCTTCCACCAATAGCGAGATGCTAGACAGGTGTATGGTCTCAACATTGGCAGCAACGAGGATGCCAATGTCTTCGTAAGTGCCATGATGTATACTTTAGAAGTGTTAAATTCATAAGAAACAGCTCAGAGCAAGGTTATTGCTACTCAGGACAGCACTAATTTGCGATGTATTTTCTGTGGACCAACATTTCCTGGACAAAATTCACAACTACCTGCCCAAGTTCAAAATGGCCCATCCCAAGAAGAATTGGAAATTCAAAGAAGGCAACTGCAACAGCGGCAACGGCGAAAGGAGCTGGGACAGGAAAGACTGGAGAGAGAGAACGGACAGGACGAGGTTGGAGAGAGAGAGAATGGACAGGGAGGGGGTGGAGAGGGAGTGAATGGACAGGGAGAGGGTGGGGAGAGAGAGGGTATAAAGGGAAAGACTAGAGAGAGAGAGAATGGAACAAGAGCAGTTGGAGAGAGACAAGAAAGGGAGCGGCAAGAACGGGAGAGACTGGAGAGACTTGACCAGGAAAGGCAAGAACAGTAGAAAGGGAACAGCTGGAATGGGGCAGAGAGCGGAGAATATCAAATGCTGCTGCCCCGGCCTCTGTTGAGACTCTTCTAAACTCGTGCTGCGAGACTCCTCTCCTTCTGAGCCAGGCTGGCAGGCAGCCTCTCAGCCGGCTGAGACACCAACCCCACAGGGCATTTGTCTTGGGACCACTTGCACCACCACCCCCTCCACCACTCCCACCAGGCCCTGCCCAGGCTTCTAGCACTCCCCCCTCCTCCAGGCCCCCCTCCACCACTTCCACTTCCATCCTCCACCCCCGCCTCCTCCTCCCCACCGCTTGCCCTTCCCCGCCCTGCAGTCCGGATTTTTTGTGGGATACATGTCAGAAGACAATTGCCCTTTAACTGTACTTGCAGCTGCAATTGCCGGAGCAACACTGAGAATAGTGTCATGGATGGAGGATGCCTCCTGCCCAAGTGAAGGGAATACCATTGGTGTGAATTATGCCTCTTCTAAAACAGAAACGAGTCGTGGAAATGTACCCCTTCCTTTAGGGGGTAGTGGTTTAATGGAAAAAATGAGTGCCCTGCTGGCCAGGAGGAGGAGGATTGCTGAAAAGGGATCAACAGTAGAAGCAGAACAAGAGGACGAAAATGAAGATCCAGAGCCTGTAACTCCTAAAGCATCGATAAGTACACCTGAACCAACCAGAAACCCGTAGGAAAGGACAAATACCATGAATGGCAGCAGGTCACCTGTTATCTCCAGATGGGATTCTCCAAGGAAAAATCAGATTGTTTCTGAAAACATGACCTGTATTCATTACACAGACCAAAATCTGCCCCCTCATCACAGCCCAGTGCCAATGGAGTCCAGCCAGAGGGACTAGACTACGACACATTGAAGCAGGATATTTTACATGAAATGAGTAAAGAATGATCAAAAGTAAAAGAAGAGCTCATTGACGCAATCAGGCAGGAACTGAGCAAGTCAAACAGGACATAAACACACGGAGGAGGAGGAGACTTTATCCTGGAGAAGAGAACTACCCAGAAACTAAAACTGCTGACAGACCAACCAACCCTGCATTTTGTGAGCTGTGGGAAGAGGATGGAGACCAACAGCTGGAAGGAGGGAAGAACCACCTGTTTTCAAAATCCTTCACTCCAGCAATAGGCTATTTCCCTTCTCGTTTGCTGCTTTTTCCCCCCTGACCTTTACAAGATGAAGGAGAGTTGTATCAGAGTCCCTGTAACAGTTATGCCGAAAATATTACATCCGCCAGGCAAGATCACAGTACACAGAAATATTTTCTTTTTTTTTTAATCATTTTATTAGGGGCTCATACAACTCTTCACAGAAATATTTTCATGTCAAGATAAAAATCGCACATTTCTTATAATCTATTACTAAAATAAAGCAGAGAAAGGCTTTAAAAAAAGAACATCTACATGCAGAAGCAAGAGATCACTAAAAAGACAGGAAAGAAAGAAAAGATCAGAGTGAACGAGAGAGGAGACACTGAAACTTGCCCTAAATCAGCAGTTCTCAATCGGTGGGTCGTGACCCCTTTGGGGGTTGAACGACCCTTCATAGGGGTCGTCCGATTCATAACAGTAGCAAAATTACAGTGACGAAGTAGCAATGAAAATAATTTTATGGTTGGGGGTCACCACAACATGAGGAATTGTTTTAAGAAGGGTGAGAACCACTGCTCTAAATCATAGAGTAGCTAATGTAGGTGGAAGAAATAATGAAGTCAAAGAGCTGAACAAAAAAGGTCAAAGGGCAACTCAAGAAGATAAAGAAAAATATATATTTTTTAATCAATTTATTGGGGCTCATACAATTCATCACAATACATAGATCAATTGTATAAAACACATCTATACATTTGTTGCCCTCATTATTCCCAAAATTCGCTTAGAAAACCAAATGGGAAGGACACACAGTACATCTTAAATTGAAAAAAAAAAAAAAAAACTCAAGAAAAAAATCCAATCCTCAAGTTGTAATATTGAAAGATTCTATGGGCAAAATACTGAACTGTGCAGGAAGTATCAAAAGAAGATGTAAAGAATACAGAGTCACTGAACCAGAAAGAACCAGTCAACATTCAGCATATCCAGAGGCAGCATGTGATCAAGAACCAGTGGTACTGAAAGAAGAAATTCAAGCAGCACTGAAAGCACTAAGCAAAAAGAAGGCTCCAGGAACTGATGGAATACCAATGGAAATGTTTCAAAAAGCTGATGAAGCACTTAACTATACCAGGAAATTTGGAAGACATAGCTACTTGGCCAGCTAGCTGGAAGATATCCATTTTTCCACCTATTCCAAAGAAATATGACCCAACAGACTGCTCAATTTATAGAAAATATCATTAATGTCACATGCAAGTGAAGTTTTGCTGAAGATCATCCAACAATAATTGCAGCAGTATGTTGATAGGGAGCTGCCAGAAATTCAGGCTGGACTCAGAAAAGGATGTGGAACAAGGGACATCATTGCTGATGTCAAACGGATCTTGAATCAAAGCACAGAATACCAGAAAGATGTTTACTTGCATTTTATTGACAATGCCAAGGCACTGGACTGTGTGGATCATAACAAACTATAGATCGGCTTGAGAAGAATAGAAATTCCAGAACACTTCATTGTGCTCACATAGACTTAATACGTTGATCAAGAGCCAGTTGTATGAACTAAACAAAGGAATACTGCAGGTGTACAATCAGGAAAGGTGTGTGGGGGGTTGGGTTTTCTCACCATACTTACTCAATCTATATGCCAAGCAAATAATCAAAGAATCTGGATTATATGAAGAAGACCATGGCATCAGGATTGGAAGTAGACTTAAACAACCTGCGATATGCAGATGACACAACCTTGCTTGCTGAAAGTGAGGAGGGCTTGAAGCACCTTCAAATAAAGATCAAGGATTGCAACTTTCAGTATGGATTACAACTCAATGTAAAGGAAACCAAAGCCCTCACAACTGGACCTCACAATGATGTCAACTATTGTTAACATTATGATAAAGTGAAAATGGATTGAAGTTTTCAAGGATTTCATTTTGCTTAGATGCCAAATAAATGTTCATGGAAGCAGCAGTCAATCAGCATAGCGTAAATCTGCTGCACAGGACCTATTTAAAGTGGTGAAAAGCAAGGGTGTTACTTTGTGGACTAAGGTGTACCTGATCCAAGTCATGATATTTTCTATTGCTTCATATGAATGTGAAAGTAGAACACTGAATAAGGAAGATGTAAGAATAATCAACAACAAAAAAAGAATAATCAATAAAATTTTATTATAGTGCTGGTGAAGAATATTGAAAAACCATGGACTGCCAAATGAACAAACAAATCTGTCTTGGAAGAAGTACAACCAGAATTCTCCTTAATGGCAAGGATGGCAAAACTTTGTCTCATGTACTTTGGACATGTTCTCAGGAGACACCAGTCCCTGGAGAAGGACATCATGCTTGGAAAAATAGCTGGACAGTGAAAAAGAGGAAGACCTTCACCAGAATGGACTGGCACAGTGACTGCATTGATGGACCCAAACATTTCAGTTGTGAGAAAGGCCCACCACTGGGCAGTGTTTTATCCTGCTGTAGATAGTGTCACTGTAAGTTGGAACTGACTGGACTACACCTGCCAACAACAAGCCTCTGGGTGGAGGCATATTATTGAAATGGGGTGCCAATAGAGGCAGAGCTAGAAGAACTTGTAGCACTTACCAAAGCAGGGCTGGGCAGTTATAGAATTGTTTGTCAATGTAAGAGGATTAAGTGAGAAGGGGTGTAGTCTAGCCTGCCAATCAGGTGATAGCCAATGAGGCCTCTGTATGGGCATGGCCTTCTCCTGAGGATTCTGGGAACTCTGGTATTACTCCTTGGAGGCTGGAGACACTTTCTCTGCTCACTCCCTGTGAGACATTTCTGAAGAGAAGTCACATGAAGCTTTCCTGATGCAACCAGACCCTGGGAGCTGGAGAAGCCACGTGTAAATTCAAGGTCACTCAAACTTCCCTTGGAAAAATAGTTGGACAGTGAAAAAGAGGAAGACCCTCACCAGAATGGACTGGCACAGTGATTGCGTTGATGGACTCAAACATTTCAGTTGTGAGAAAGGCCCAGCACTACTTAAGAGTAGCCAGAGAAACAAAGGTGGTTACATACAATGTACTCAGGTAAGAATATGCACAGCCCTATCAGCAGATACCATGAAGAGGAGGAGAGAGTGGAGTAACATCTTCTGAAAGTTGAAAGAGAACAATGCCAATCCAAGGATCCTCTATCTCGCCAAACTGTCTATCAAGATAAACAGAGTTAAGAGTCTTCCCAGACAAGGAAGAACTCAAAGTATACATTATAAGACACCTAACCTTGTGAAAAATCCTTTCCAACTCACTGTAGCCAGAAGGTCAACATTGACCAAGTACAAATAGGAAACCATCACGTAGCAAACCCCAAGATACATCGTTTCAATGGCAAAAATAAGGCAAGAATGAAGCCACCCCACATATACATAGCACAATGTTATGAGATAGGAAAACACCAAATACAAAAGGAATGGTATGACAACTAAATCCATAGTTGATGGTATAACTCTGGATGTCAACGATCTTAATTCTCACATTAAAGACAAAAGCTTGCAGACTGGCTCAAAAATATAGCCCAGCAATTTGTTGCCTGCAAGAGACACACCTTCACCTCATGGACTTAAATAGACTAAGAATAAAAGGCGGGCAAAAATATACCAAGCAAATGGCAACCAATAAAAGCAGGGATGCAAGCCTAATCTTGGACAAAATCAATCTCTAGGTGCAAATCATAACAAAACATAAGGATGGTCACTATATAATGCTAAAAGGATCAATATGTCAAGAACAAGTGAGTATAATAAATCTATATGTGCCTAATGAGAGATCTGCAAAATTTGTTGAACAAATTCTTCAAAAAATGAAAACAGAAATCACAGACTCAACAATCATAGTAGATGACTTTAATACACTACTATCAGAGAAAGATAGGTCACCCGGAAAGAAACTTGTGATAGTTACATAATCTGATGTCAATTTGAGACTTTAAGAGTGAAGAGGTGGAGTTTACTCTGTTAATCAGGTCGCAGCTTGATGACCATATTTGGAGGCACTAAAGAGATAAATAGCTTATTGGAGGTGAGATACACACTCACTCTCTGTGAGACATTACTGATGAGGAGCCTGATGGGGCTATGCTGATACAACCAGAGCCCTGGACCTGAAGGAGTCACATGGAGACCCCTGCCAGCACTGAGATGCTTCCACTGCCACTAGATCCACAAGATTTTCCACCCACTGGCCTGTGATCTTCCTGCATTCAGCATCATTGCATGTTTTGTGTGAGTCTGAAGAAGAATTTATAGATTGATATCGGACATATGGCTAATATCGGACTTATGAACTTGATCTGGACTGTGTTGGGATGTTTTCTCAATATTCAATTGCTCTTGTATATAAAGCTCTTTCTTATACACATATGAGTGTCTATGAATTTGTTTATCTCGTCTAACCAGACTAAAACAAAACTCAATAACACCACGATTAGGCAACTCGACCTGATTGACATTTATAGAGCTCTCTACCCAAATGTAAAAACAATCACTTTCTTTTCAAGTGCACATGGCTCTTATTTAAAAATAAACCACATCATGGGGCAAAAGTCAAGCCTGAGTAAATTCAAACACATAGAGATCACTCAGACATCTCTCTTGGACCACCAAGCCATAAGCTGGAGATGTACAAAAAGGGCAATGTCGGACAGTGTAAGATATGACAAAATAATAATAATTTATAAATTGTCAAGGGTTCATGAGGGAGAGGGCATCTGGGAGGGAGGGGGGAAATGAGGAGCTGATACCAAGGGCTCAAGCAGAAGGCAAATGTTTTGAGAATGATGATGGCAACAAATGTACAAATGTGCTTGACACAATGGATGTATGTATGGATTGTGATAAGAGTTATACCAGTCCCCAATAAAATGATTTAAAAAAAAGAAAAGAAAATGATAATGGCAACATATGTACAAATATGCTTGATACAATTGATATATGGATTGTTATAATTCCTGTAAGACCCCCAATAAAATTATTTACTACTACTAATAATAAATAATTTAAAAGGCAAAAGTGGATATCCATATGAAAAAATAAAACAGGATCCATACTTCACACCATACATGAAAACTAAATCAAAATGGATCAAAGGTCTGAATATTAAACCTAAAACTACAAATTTCGTAAAAGATAACATAGGAGGGAACTGTGGGACCTAATTGAAAGAAAAACAGATGAACAAACAACTACAAATGTACAAATAGCAGAAGACAGATGGATAATTGAGAGCTCATAAATTAAGTAGCCTAAGTGCCCTTCAATAGATGAATATAGAAGCAAAATATGGTACATACTTACAATGGAACACTACATAAACTTAAATAATAATGTTGAGTTTACAAAATAAACTTGGGAAAGATGGATCAGGAGGACACAATGCTAAGTGAAATAAGTCAATGACCTAAGTGTAAATATTGTATGATTCCATCTTCCTAAAAGAAAATAACAGAGCTATAGAGAGAACAATGTTCAGGGATTGGTGCGGGGAGGAAGAATCACTCTCTGGATTGCCAATATGTGTTATTTTGGATCATGGGGAAAGTGGCACCACATGAACATAGCCTGTTCAAACTACCAGAGTAAATAATCCCAGCAAGAAGCACATAAGAGGAAAAGATGTTTGTGTACAGAGCATGTCAAAAAGCACTGTTAAAAAAGTATAGAAATCTTTTTGAAACAAAAATTTCAAATGTGAAGCTATTAAGTTTTGACATATCCCCTGCCTAGATCTATCCATGACTGGAGGTGGTATTTCCATCTTGCTAATCATTTCCCAAAGAATTCTGTACTCTTTGATTTTCATTACAACAAAAAGGTAGTTTGGGCATCCTCCAGGGACTCAAAATGTATATCTTCTCAACATTAAGTTTCAGGAACAAAAAGACATCTGAAGGGGCAAGACCAGCGTAGAAGGGTTGAGGGCCTAAGGTTTTCTAACAAAATTCATAGAAACCATTCCTTGTGGCCCTCAAAGAAAGAGCAAATGCTTCATGATGGGGAAAAAATTTCCTTGGCATACTCTTCCTGGATTTTCTCACCACGGAAGTTTCCCATCATTGTAAAACTTTTTAATAATAAGCTCCAGTAACTTTCTTGTGCCCTTTGCAAAAATGTACCCACACGGCTCTTTACAATGGCAAATTCATTGCCATTGGGCCGAGTCTGACTCATAGCAACCCTGTAAGACAAAGTAGAACTGTCCCTTTGGGTTTCCTAGGCTGCAAGTCTTTATGGAAGTAGAAAACTCCATCTTGCTCCTGTGGAGTGGCTGATTAATTTGAACTGCTGGGCTTTCGGTTAGCAGCCCCACTTTTAAGCCACTAGGTTCCTATGGCCCCTTGGGAAAAGCAAAAAAAAGTTGCCATGACCTTCTGAGTTGATCTTCCTAGCTTGAATTAACTAGCCCGGAAGATCCCCTTAGAAGCCACTCTTTTAATTGGACCTTTTAATAGAAGGCGCCCTAATGAGCCTGTGAAGTTTACTTCTGAGATAACTTGCCTGCAGTCATCTGCTGGTTGCAGACACATATGTCGACACATTTTCTTTGGAATAAACCAGTGTATGTATGAACTGAAACCCCAGTAGCAGTATTTTTTTATTTGCCCTCATATAATTTGGCAACAATACTAGCAATAACTAAAACACAAGTGTATGTCATAGATGTTGGTGTATAGGCATATATGGTGTATCGGTAGATAGAGGTGTGTATTATATGTGTGCACAGATAAAAGCATATACATGCATATATATTCACAGAGGACATGGTTATAGATACTTCTCAGACATAAGCAAGCAACTTTCTAGATTGGTTTTCTACATTTAGAAACTTTGAACCTTAGACTCAAAGGGCAACTCAGGGCCGACACAGTTCATAAAGTTCATGTTCTACATCCAAGTGAGGTATGTCATGTCTGGGGGCTTAAGAGCTTTTGAGCAGCCATTTAAGGTACAACTATTGTTCTCCACTGGCTGGGAGCAAAAGAAAAGGAAGGAGGCCAAAGTTTAAAAGAGGAAACTTTGAAACCTATAGTCTACTAGGCAAATAGTCCATGTGAACTACAGTCTCGTCTGCTTGGAGACCAGAAGAACTAGATGGTGTCTGGCTATCACTACTGACTGCTCTCATCGGGGCCACAATAGATGTAACCTGATAGAATGGCAGAGAAATGCAAAACAGAGCTCAAACTTTTAAAATGTTCAAACTTACTGGATCAGCTGAGACTGAAGGACTCCCTGAGGCTATCACCCTGAGAGACTCTTTAAGTCTTGATCCAAAACTATCCCAAGGTCACCTTTTGCTGGTAGATTGGCATATAACCCCCCAAAATAAAGGATGTTACTTGTGAGTGCATTGCTTCATTTAAAAAAATCTATATGATACCAAAGTGTCAACAATTATTTTAGGACAAAGATGAAAAGATTAAGGAGTGGGGAAACAAGAGCACCGGATATGAAACCATAAAAACGCAATTTACAAGAACATCAACACATTGTGAAAAATGTAACTAATGTCACCGAACAAGTAATGTAGTATCTTTCAAATGAGCTTATTTACTGAATAAATGTTCATTAAAAACACAATTAAAAAAATTTTAAACACAAATAAAAACAGTTAAAACTAAAACAGCTGGCATCCAGTCAATCTGGACTCATCGCAGCCCCGTGTGTCCCAGACACATAGACCTGCACCCCACAGGGTTTGCAATGGCGGGTTTTGAGAAGCAAATCACCGCTGGTTGAACTCGAGTCACCAACCCTTCAGTTAGCATTCACTCTAGCTAAGTTAGCATCGCCTCTTAACTCTTCGCACTACCCTAAAACAGACTTTACAGGGGTGTTGAAACACCCTTATGAGGTAGAGTGATACCATTTTCCTTTGAAAGGTGGCCAAACACTGTTTAGGTTGGGAAAGACTAGGTACAAATGCAAGGGTAAGGTGACTGTACCAAATGTATCATCATATCTCGTGTAGGTAGCTCTGTCTTGAAGTGGAGAGCAAGGTTCAGAATCCGTGTATACTGAAAATAGTTTTTGTTCATCATTGTAGCACAAAGAGTGGGTGTTCCCAGAGTAAATTCTATTAGAGACCTCAATTTCCTAGTAAATAGTTGGGAAAACATTTGCCTGGAATTTTATCTTAGTGAAAGAAGCTAAAAATCATAAAAAATAAGCTTATTTTAGCTTGAATTTAACAGTTTATATTGCAAGTACATGTGAATTCTCGTAAGAAACAAAAATGGCTGCCGATGTTTTGAGGAGGTGTATTTTGTTGTTGAATGATATACAACAAAACATAAGTTCCTGTGTGTGTGTGTGTGTGTGTGTGTGTGTGTGTGTGTGTTTTGCAAACAAAGGTGTACTGTTTTGTGGAATGATCTACAAGAAAACATAAGTTCTTTTGTGGTTGTCTTTTGAAAAAATATTCAAGACCTGATAAAGTTTCACCTTTGACAAACAGTTTTAATCCTTTGATAAACAAATCATTCTTTATCTATATTGTATATTCTTATTAGATGCATAACCTCTGACAATCAGGGAGAGCCCAAGAAAGATACTAAGCTAAGAAAGTTAGAAAGCCAAGAGCAAAAACTGAAAGTATGTATTTAGGAATGTTTGTAGCAATTTGACATGTTGTGATATTTTTTTTGTCCTTCTAAAAGGATAGATCCATACAAAATTGGAGATTAAAACAGGCAAAAACATTCCCTCACCACAGGTAATTTGAAAAGCACAGCTCCAAGGATTGACCTAGGAAATAAACTGCTGGGTGGTAAGGTGTAAACATTTCCCATTTGGTAGATGCTGCCAAATTATGCTCCACAGCAGTGGCACCAGCACACACACTTCCCTGTAGTGTTCCAGTCTCTATGGTTGCACACCCACTACAACTCTAGGAAATGTCAGACTCATACACTGGAGTCTTACCTTTCACTGCACTCTTGTTGGGATTGATGGGACTTTTTTACCTAAAGGCTGACACTCAGGTACTCACTTTTCCTCAAATGTCCACTGCTATAGCCACTTCTCCCGATTGTGTTGACCAAGTAGTCAAAGGCCATCTCCTTGGCGCTGAGATGGAGAAGCTGGCTGGCCTCCACGAAGCGTCTTGTGATGTCCAGGGGGTTGGCACCTACTAAAGGAATCATAATAGGCAACATATTTTCATCCCAGCACAGGGCTGCTACTTGCAGAAAAGGAAGATCTATTCCTAGAGTAAGCAAATTTGAGTGGACTTCTAATGAAAGGGTCTCAAACTCTCAAGCTCTCTCAGGGGCCCTTTGCTCCCTCTCCCCCTTACCCTTGTTTATTCCTGCCCCAAGTCCTGTATTCATTGCCATCAAGTTGATTGTGTCTCAGAGCAAAACTATAGGACCATAGAACTGTCCCATAGGTTCCCAAGGCTATAAATCTTTACAGACACAGGCAGTCACATCCTTCTCCCTACAAGCTGAAGGTGGTTTGAACCTCCAACCTTGGGTTAGCAGCTGAGCCTTTTCACAGATGCACCACCGTGGCTCCTATTGGCCTATAAAACAAACCTACTACCGTGGTGTCAATTCTGATTCACAGGGACCCCATAAAGGGCTGTCAAAAATAAACAAACTCGCTGTCATCGAGTCAATTCTAACTCATCATGACTCTATAAAACAGGATAGAACTGTCCCTGTGGGTTCCCAAGAACGTAACTCTTTCTGGAGTGGAAAGCCCCATCTTTGTCCCTTGGAGCTCCTGGTGGTTTTGAACTGCAGACCTTGCTGATCACAGCCCAACTCGTAACCACTATTCCACCAGAGCCCTCTCTATAGGGCTTCAGGGACTATAAATTTTATAGGAACAGAAAGTTCATCATTCTCCCTAATTACAGCTAATGCATTAACAACGACCAACCTCTCAGCTGCCCACATGCCACCAGTGCCTCTAAAATGACGCAGCATCAAGATGACTTAGTTATTGATGCTGCTCTAGGTCCCTGACTTGGTCCTAGAATGACATTCTTATCTGAGACCCTAGTGCTCATGACTGCTCTGCAACTGGGTCCACTGGGGTCTTCTTAGCTAGAGAGAGCGTCTCCTGATTCACATCTCCACTCTTGGCCTCCTAGGCTCTATCTCTCTGTTTTTCTGAACAACGACCACCAACTCCTCCCTTCAGTTCCTCTGACCTCACACTGTTTCTCATGACTGCCGTGGATTAGCTTGTGCAGCTCAACCCCTGTTTGGCTATAGGGTCTTTCTTTGCAGCTATTACCTAACTTAATGAGATCATAACAGAGTAGGGTAGGTCCTAATGTTGTTTGAGTGGTGTCTACTCTTATAAAAAGGAGACAGAGTTCCCACAAGAAGAGATGTTATGTGATGATAGGTGCATCTACATGCCATGAAAATCCAAGAAGTGCATAGGGCTACCAGAATCTAGAGACAAGGAAGGGCCTTCCCCTGGAGTTAACAGAGAGCCTGGCTCTGTCACTGCCCTGGATTCCAGCTTCTAGTCTCCGTAACTATAAGACAATACATTCCTAGTCTTTAAAGTCACCCACCTTGTAGGACTTTGTTATAGCAACTCCAGGAAACTAAGACAACTGCTGATCTTCTGATCAGGGCTACCCAAAGTTGGAAGAATGAAATAAAAAATAGAACAGAAATGGGTGAAAGGATGATTTTTGAATGTAGTCATGGGAAGGAATTGAATTCCTAAAGTAGATTCATGACTGTCACTGATTTCTC